TAGAGACATTGAAAATGCACTTGCCAGGCAGTTCTTTCATACAAACAGCTCAGACAATTACCATCCCGCATTCCTGACCACCAAGGAAGCGGCTGAGCTGCAACCTATTCACTTTCCGCAGGAGATGACTTTGATTACAATAAAGATCTAACAATGAATGAGCTTGCCCGAGCCCTAGAAGCCTGTAGAGGAACGTCCCCAGGCTCCGATGAGATTCGATATGAGATGATAAAGCATCTTAATCATGATGCCATGATTAAGTTGCAAGAAGTGTACAATGAAATTTGGAAAAGCCAGACTTTCCCAAACTCATGGCACTTCGCCCACATCATTCCCATATTGCAAGGAGGGGGAATCCCAGATAAGCTATCTCCTACCGCCCAATTGCGTTGACAAGTTGCTTATGCAGGGTTAGTGCTTCTTCCATAAGGGACGCCAAACTCTTGATGAACTGGAGTCATATTCAGGAGGCATTTGCCAAAAAATATTTTTTATTCCAATATTCTTAGAGAAAAAGCCTACAACATGACATGGCGATATGGCCTACTAAGAAAACTTTATGCTTTTGGATTACATGGAAAATTGCCTTGCTTTATTCAAAATTTCATTTCTGACAGAACTTTTGCTGTCAATTTTGCTGTATTCTGACAGTGTCACTTTCTCGGACATTTTTGTCCAGGCAAACGGGGTCCCACAAGGAAGTGTCTTGTCTCCAACATTATTTCTATGTATGACAAAGGACATCTTAACAACTTCCCCTCGGTATCTTAAATATTGAATGCCGATGATTGTGTATTATGGCACTCCAGCAATAATGCAGAATTCTCGGCAAATCGCATCGAGATGGCACTAGATATGATTCACTGGGGTTTTAAGTTTTCCATAAGAAAGAGTATTGGGGTATTTTTTCACATAGGAAAATGCCAAACATCTGTTTAACTTTAGATAATCACCCAATACTTATTCAAAATTCTGCTAAATTGCTTGGTCTACTCTTTGATTGTAGACGAAATTGAAAAGACCACATTGGTCAAGTAAAGACTTAAATATCAAAGCGCACTATATACATATATATGTATATGTATGTATAAACATATATATGTATATATATGTATATATACATATATATACACATATATGCATATACATATTTCTTTCTTTTCAACAGCCATTCATTCCACTGCAGGACATAGGCCTCTCTCTCAATTCAGTATTGAGAGGTTATATGGCAGTGTCACCCTTGCCTGATTAAATGCCCTTCCTAATCAACCGCGGTTCGGCGCGTTAACACTTGTGCCACGGCGGTGACTTCCCCTACGACACCTGCGTTTGACTTCTTGGGGCGATATGTCGTTTTCTCAGGCTCGAGGTAACAGTCAGAACGCAGGCATTTTTTACGACTGCCGCGACGGGAAATTGAACCCGGGACCACGAGGGTCGCAGTGCTCTAACCACTGAGCTATCGCGGCAGTATAAATTTTATTTAAGGCCTCTCTCAATTCAGTATTGAGAGGTTATATGGCGTTGTCACCCTTGCCTGATTGAATATCCTTCCTAATCAACCGCGGTTCGGCGCGATAACACCCCTACGACACCTGCGTTTGACTTCTCGAGCCGATATGTCGTTTTCTCGGGCTCGAGCAAGCAGTCAGAGCGCAGGCATTTTTACGACTGCCGCGACGGGGAATTGAGCCCGGGACCACGAGGGTCGGAGTCCTTTGCTCTAACCACTGAGCTATTGCGGCAATCGCATATACATATATATATATATATATATATATATATATATATATATATATATATATATATATATATATATATATATATATATATATATATATATATATATATATATATATATGCAAATATATATATATATACATATATACATGTATATGTATACGTATATATGCACATGTATACATATATATATACTTATATACACATATACATATGTATATTTATATATATGCAAAAAAATATGTATACATATATATACACATACATATATGTATATTCATATATATGCAAAAAATATATATATACATATATATACACATACATATATGTATATATACATATACTTGCATATATACATATACATACATATATATATATGTATGTATATATGTATACATATATATATATATATATATATATATATATGCAGAGATGTACATATACATATATATATATATATATATACATATATATATATATATATATATAAATATATATATATATATATGCACACATAAATGTACATGTTTTTTTTCAACAGCCATTCATTCCACTGCAGGACATAGGCCTCTCTCAATTCACTTTTGAGAGGTTATTTGGCAGTACCACCCTTGCCTGATTGGATGCCCTTCCTAATCAACCGTGGTTCGGCGCGAGTTGGCTTCCCCTACGACACCTGCGTCTGACTTCTCAAGGCGATGCGTCGTTTTCTCAGGTTCGAGCCAGCAGTCAGAGCGCAGGCCTTTTTCGGACCGCCGCGACGGCGAATTGAACTCGGGACCACGAGGCTCGAACTGCTACAATGCGACATGCAGTAGCCAGTGGTTTGTTTGTGACACTCCGTGCCCAAACAAGGAGGGGAGTGTAGCCGCTGTTATCAACATCAGTTTCAGTTGTTCGAGCTGAAACAAACGAACTTGCATTTTCTCGCTCTGCTGATTTAATGTAACTACACACAATATAATAATAGTGAAAACTATGATCAGAATAATCGAAAAGAATTATACATACTGTTGCGTTATTAGTCATAAGCATACACACACACACACAAACAAACACATAAACTCACTTCATTAGTTCGATTAGCCGCTGCTAAATGGTGGGACTAGGAGAAAGTATTTTGAAGATTTTGATTTTGATACTTAAAGTACGGAGCGTTTTCAATATGCAGCTATAACTGATACTTGCTGTGTTGAAAGAAGGGGAAAATGCTTCCTCACTTCCATTTCGATAAACAAACAAATATATATATATAATATATATATATATATATATATATATATATATATATATATATATATATATATATATACATATATATATATATATATATATATATATATATATATATATATATATATATATATATATATATATATATATATATACATATATATATATATATACATATATATATATATATATATATATATATATATATATATATATATATATATATATATATATATGTACGTATATAAATGTACGTATATACATGTATATGTATATGTATATACTGTATACATATACTATATATATGTATATATATTATGTATACAAATATATATGTATGTATATGTATATAAATGTATCTATATATATACTGTATATATATATATATATACTATATATATGTATATATATGCATATATACAGATGTATATTTATATATATGTATCTATACATGTATATGTGTATATATATGTACATATATGTATATATATGTATACATATGTATATCTATCTATCTATCTATATATATATATATATATATATATATATATATATATATATATATATATGTATATATGTATATATATATATATATATATATATATATATATATATATATATATATATATATATATGCATAATGTATTTATACATATATGTATATATATATATATATATATATATATATATATATATATATATATATATATATGTGTGTGTGTGTGTGTGTGTGTGTGTGTGTGTGTGTGTGTGTGTGTGTGCGTACGTATATGCATATATATAGATATACATATGTATATATATGTGTATATATATATATATATATATATATATATATATATATATATATATATATATATATATATATATATATATATACATATACATGTATATATGTATATATAAGTATTTACATATATATGAATATATGTTTGTATATGTATATGCATATGTGTATATATATGTATATATATACATATATATGTATATAGTGCGCTTTGATATTTAGGTCTTTACTTGACCAATGTGGTCTTTTCAATTTCGTCTACAATCAAAGAGTAGACCAAGCAATTTAGCAGAATTTTGAATAAGTATTGGGTGATTATCTAAAGTTAGACAGATGTTTGGCATTTTCCTATGTGAAAAAAATACCCCAATACTCTTTCTTATGGAAAACTTAAAACCCCAGTGAATCATATGTAGTGCCATCTCGATGCGATTTGCCGAGAATTCTGCATTATTGCTGGATTGCCTTAATACACAATCATCGGCCTTGTCCTGCTGGCCGCCGCCTTGCCTGCTGGCCGCTTTCTGCTCGCTGGATGCTGTCTATTTGTCTGCAGCTATCTGTATGCCGCTGTCTACTATTCCATCATTTATATGCTGTGAGTGTTGTGTTGGTCACACTATTTAGAATAGGTTAATATATGGGTATATTTTATATTAATAAATTGGTTAAAATGTTCTGGTGTTTCCATTCTCTCCCGCAAATGAACAAATGAGCTCTGAGTAAAAGGTGAACCACGGAGAAGGTGCAAGGACTGGTAAAGGGCCCAGGCCAGCCGTTGAATAATGATTAAACCGAAGTTAGCCGCCTTCACATACACACACACACACACACACACACACACACACACATATATATACATATATATATGTATTATATATATATTTGTGTGTGTGTTTAGTGTGTGTATGTGTTTGTGTGTGTGTGTGTTTAGTGTGTATGTGTTTGTGTATATGGGTGTGTGTATGTGTGTTTGTGTATGTGTATGTGTGTGTGTGTGCGTGTGTATGTGTGTGTGTGTGTGTGTGTGTGTGTGTATGTGTGTGTGTGTGTGTGTGTGTGTGTGTGTGTGTGTGTGTGTGTGTGTGTGTACATGGTACAGTTTTTGTTTATGTGCGAGTAGCTGATAGCCTTCATTCTACTGAAGGAAAAATAACCTTGCCAAGGCCGTATTCTTTCCAAGATGCTCCAACGCAGCAGCTGAAGCGTTCCCCACCGATAACAAATCTGCTGACTCTCACTGCAGGGAACCGCCAGTCACCTTCTGCGAACAACAATGGCCAACACTGCCTCGTTTGTTCTCTTGTTTTGTGTTTACGGTAAGAAAAGGCCGTCTCTTGCCACCGGAGTGAGATATGCTTTGCATTACATGTACTGAGAAATTCGTTTCCCTTTTCTCGTTGTCCCTGAGCGAGCGGAGGGTGTTGCCGAGCCCGTTAGAAGGACTCCAGGGCTGTCAGACCGATTTGCGGAAGACATGAATGTTTTTGTATCATTTGCCTAAATCAGAATATACAAGATTTGATATTTATGTTTATAGAGCTAATATGTAAATATCGTGGTACCCAGACATTTTACTTCTTTTAGCTTTCTCTGTACATTTTTTTTCTTTATCTGTAGACCCAATATAAAAGCTACTTCCTATTGCCACCAGCGACCGCTCTGCCCCGCCCGACTCCGCTCGGCGGCCTCCCGCCAGATGACCTGCAGCGCGAGATCCACACGGCCCTCAGGACGGGCGACGCAGGCCCCTTACTGAAGGAGGTGACTCGACGTGAGTAAAGGCGGTCCGGTCGGGCACATGAGCGGGACGTAGATAGAACTCACGCTTACATTACTTTTGACCATTCATGTGTACTTGTCTTGTTTAAGTAGTGTGTGTGTTACATTCACTGCAAGACAGATCATCTCCATTTGTCTGCTTGTCCGTCTGAATATGAATTTTGAATGAGAAATCGATGTTCCTCCATCTTTCCTCTATCTATTTCCCCATCTACGTGCGGCAGTACTTGACCTCAGACGTCTCCTGGCCAGTGGGGGGCCTCTCGACGAGCCTCGCCGGTCGCTGCTGTGCTCCACCTGCAGCGTGGGCGTCGCGCAGATCATCCAGGAGGTGGAGAACGGCGCCGCGCC